GCCACTAATCTATTGGCCCTGCGGCCTCTTGGCCTCTGTCCTGCAAGTGTTGCAAAGTTCTTTCAATGCTGACAATAAGTGCCCGGAGGCAACCTGCCCCACCAGCAAGCCCCCTGTCTGAAGGTGCTCACATTTCTCACTCTTTGGGCACAGAAGCCTACTGTGCATCATGCCATTTCCTTGTTCTGCTGCCTCTGCTGCCATCATTTCTCTGCCACCACTTTTCACCATCTTCTGTTGTCTCCAGTGTTATAGCTTTCTGTGTGTTAGATCTAAGACCTTCCCCTTGCAGGGACTTGGGCCCAAAGGACATGCTTTGCTCCCATCTCTTCTTGGTGGTGGTCAGGTCCTCCCTTTCTGCCTCTGAGATGGCAAAACTGGCCAGTCCCCATGTTAGGATTCTGTACACCCTACTTGCATGGTCTCACCACCACATGTGTGCCATACACCTTATTTACATTATTACCAAGCTATCTAATACCCTTGGTGGGCCACAAGCACCTCTCATTTGCATAGTCCCACCCAGACATGTGGTGGGAGTTAAAAAGATCATGGCTAGAAAGGCCATGTTAAGTAATTCACTGAACCACACTATGGTATACAGAAAATGGATTAGATAGGGACAGAAAAGAGACAGAGACACTTGTTACAATTGGAAGGGACTGCTCATATTAATAAGACTCAACATCCAGACTTATGAGAATCTCAAGTCATATTTAAAAGCCTCTGAAGACTATCCCACAGCTAAATATTTAGGAGTGTTTTCCCTGTAACCTACTAAAGTTCTTCATGATAGAATGTTCGATCATCACACCTTGTTTACTTTTATCTTTTTGAGCCTTTTATATATATGGCCTTACCACATTGCCCTTGGCAGATTTCTTCTTTCATGCTTATTTTCTTTAATTGTGAACATCACACTTTTCTCTGGCCAGGTTATGTTATGGGAGGGTTCCTTACAGGTCCTACATATATTCTTGCTCTAGAACTACACTATATTTGTTGCTTATTTTGGAAACTAAACTATTAGGGTTTTACTACATACTTGATCAACCTTCATCTATCACATCTCCTAAGATGTTTATTAATTCACTTTGGAAATAACTCCTTCAGATGTGTTGTTGATGTTATATGCTGTCGAGTTGGACCCAACTCACAAAGACCCCCCCTTGGGTTTCTGAGGCAGTATGACTATGGAAGTAGATTGCCCAACCTTCTTTCCAAGGAGTGGCTGGTGGGTTTGAACCGCCACCCTTCTAGTTACCAGTCAAGTGCCTTAGGCACTACGCTACCAGAGCTCCCTCTTTCAGATATAAGGTACTTGTTTTCTCTTTCTGTGTATGTACTATGATATTTCCCTCATATTCTTTTGTTTTTAATCATAGACAAATTACCTAGATGATTTAAATTTTGATATAGCTTCATAATAACTCCCTACTTCTTCTTCACACTTGGGGCCATTTGGCAAGTTCAGGAATCATCATCTTGGCCATACATGGATCCCTCCTTAGAGAACATCATCATCAGATTCCTGATGCCTCAGATGGGCATTTAATAAATATACTGTCTACAACCTCACATAACTAATAGTAATTATAATCTACACTTACAGTATCCAGTACAGTAGCCACCAGCTGCATGTGCTCATATACATTAAATTAATTAAGATAAATTGATTAACATGGAATAACACTTAAAATTCAGTTTCCTAGTCACTCACAGTAGCCACATTTCATGTGCTTAATAGCCACCTGTGACTATTGACAACAATATTGGAGATACACAGATATGGAACATTTCCGTCGTTGCAGAAATTTCTACTGGATGGTGCTGGACTAAATGATAATATTATCTACATGATGTAGAATGGTGTTTAGAACCTTGAAAATAAAGTTTTTCCCCTTCATAATCCAGGTTTGTCATTCTTTCATAAATTGCATGAACTCTATAATCTCAAAAAATTTTAGAAATGAAATGATAGAACTTACCTACACAATTGTTTCTATATGCCTCATGAAGCTTCACTAAAATCTTTATGCCAAGTCTTCAAACTGTTTTTTCGTTCCAGCCAGTAAAAGCACTTTGGGTTCCATATGGCTAGAGCCAGGAAATTAATTTACACAGACTTAGACCAGTTTTTTAGAAATGGCTTTGGTTCCTGTTCCATTAGTAAATAAATATTTCATAAATATTATTGTTAATATTAAAACAAATATTATTTCTGAGATTTACTAACATTTATTATTGATATTCCTTTAATTGGAATTAAGAGGGAATATAATAGCCAAAGATTGACTCAGAATGTATACTCTCATCCAGGATCTTGAGTAGTTTGATAATTCTTAGGAAATATGGGGACATTTATACTGGAAGAAGGACTTTTGAAATAGCTAGACTGTTACTGGGTTTCTTATTATTTTGAATTTACATGAATCTCAAGGAAACAAAGATAGGTTGTTTTTTTTAAAAAATTAAAACAGTACATGGAGGTTATGTGTATAATGAAGGAGAGGAGGACAGTGCAAAGGATGCCATTGGATTTTTTTTATCATTATGCTCTCATCATCGGGAGCTCTGGGAGCATAGTGCCTAAGGCACTTGACTGCTAACCAGACAGCTGGCAGTTCAAACCCACCAGCCACTCCTCGGAAGGAAGGTTGGGCAATCTACCTCAGTAATGATACTGCCTCGGAAACCCAAAGAGGGGTTGCTATGAGTTGGGGCCGACTTGACGGCACCTAACAACAACAACAACCTGCTCTCATCTGATTTGTGATTTTCACTAAAAAGTTTATACCACCTAAAAGTATTGCTGTTGTTGTTAGGTGCCATCAAGTTAGTTCCACCTTGTAAGAACCCTGTGGACAACAGAACAAAACATTGCCCAGTCCTGGGCCATCCTCACAGTCCTTGCTATGCTTGAGCACATAGTTTCAGCCACTGTCAATAGATCTTGTTGAAGGTCTTCCCACTTTTGGCAGACCCTCTACTTTACCAAGTGTGATCTCTTTTTCCAGAGACTGTTCCTTCCTGATAACATAGCCAAAGTATGAGAGACAAAGTCTGCCCATTCTAGCTTCTAAGAATAATTCCAGCTATACTTCTTCCAAGTTTCCTCTCATTTTGAGTTGTGCCACATCAGCAAATGAAGGTCCTGAAAGCTTTACTCCATCCACATTAGTTAGGTTGTCTCACTTTGAGGAGGCACCTCTTCCCCAGTCATATTTTGAATGCCTTCCTTCCTGAGGGTTTCATCTTCTGGCAGCACTATATCAGACAGTGTTTCTCTACTATTCATAAGGTTTTCAGTGGCCAGTTTATTCCCAGAAGTGGATCACTTATTCCTTCTTCCTAGTCTGTCCTAGTCTGGAAGCTCTGCTGAAACCTATCAACCATAGGTGACCCTGCAGGCATGTGAAATACCAGTGGCATAGCCTCCAACATCCCAGCAACACATAAACCACCACAGTATGACAAACTGACAGAGAAGCCATGGCCTAAAAGTTCACTACTATGTAATGTAATTTCTTATCTGATGCTACATGTTCTCAATAAGTTTAATATGCAGCACTATTCATTATTCAAGGTAAATTCAAACATGAAAGAGAACTTCTATATTTCCTAGACCAAGCGCATTTGTGTCTACCCTATTTATTTTAATTCTTTGTTCCTTTCCAAATTATTTCACCTAAAATTATTATGCTTTCTTCTATTAGATTCTCTGGTAGAGTTATTTTTGGGCTAATTGTGTAATGTCAGAGTTCCTTCTAGTATTACCAGTTGAGATGGTATCTACACAAAATTAAATTTCTCCACAACGTTTACCAGATGGAATGCCAAATTGAAATAGATCTGAATATAGATCAATTGAAATATGAAAAAGACCACAAAAATCACAGCTGGTTTTAAAATAGTTTTGTTTGTTTATGTATAGTACAGAATATTTCTCCCTTAGCCTTATGCATCTACCTTGAGAAAGTCCAAAGTAATTCTAATTACCTTCACTCATAAACTGTGAATTTTCACACTATTAAAACTTTTAATTGATATCCATCAATTTTAATCTCACCTTTTCCATTGGTTAATTGGTCTCATAGCTATTGTTGTTGTTGTTATGTGCTGTTGAGTCAGACCTGACTCATAGTGACCCCTCCTTGGGTTTCTGAGGCGGTATCACTATGGAAGTAGATTGACAAACTTTCCTTCTGAGGAGTGGTTGGTGGGTTTGAACTGCCAGCCTTCTGATTAGCAGTCAAATGCCTTAGGCACTACGTCATCAGAAGCTCCCGTCATAGCTATTAGTCCCCTACAATAATTGCAGGGCAAATGAGATTATTTATAGAAAGTAACCCAGTTAATTTTCTGACAGCAATGTAAGATGTTGTTCAAATCTACTCAGGACCCCACTACCTGTAAATGTTTCTGGTTACAAGTTTCCTTCCTCTAATCAATTCACCATTGGCAAAATTTAGCCAGATTTTACACCCAGCTGCTTTGTACATCTAATCTTTTTTGTAATCATGAACAAACTTTTGCAGGATGATACTAGTCTATTTATTAAAAAACAAATTTATTATTTAAAATTGTTACCAGAAACCTTATTTCAATGAATAGTTCCTATTGAATGAAGGAGAAAAATGACAGAGTACTTACTTCAGTGAAATTTGAATTCCATTAACTTAACATGTGGCAATGATGGGCTCAGGTATATCAAGGATTGCGAGGCTGCCACAGGACCAGGCAGTGTTTTGTTCTTTTGTACATACGGTCGCTATGAGTTGGAGCTGACTTGATGGCAACTAACAACAACAACAACATGTTCTTACCACAAACGATGGTGCTTAGAACAATCATTTCAGCTTCTGGGCCCAGGGAAGCAAAGCAAAAGAAAATGAAATTGTGTGTATTTTGATGCTGGTAATAAAAGAATTAGAATTAGGAATGGGAGGAATAAGTAAAGATACTAGGAAACAAATCAACTGTGTATCATTCCATTTCAGGTGGCTATTTCTTTGGTTGTGTTGTGGCTACTTAGTAAGTGAGTATTCCATACCCCACTGTGGATGGGTTTTTTTTTTGTTTGTTTGTTTCTATTAATCATTTGGGTCTCATTAAATATTTTACTATGCAATGGGCTCCATTTCTCTCAAGTAACAAGTCGTGGAAAATCTAGTTATTTTCGTTAAAATTGTGAGCAATTTCATGTGAAGTTCCTATGTTGTTGTTGTTGTTGTTTGCCGTTGAGTCGGCCCCGACTCATAGCAACCCCTCCTTGGGTTTCCGAGGCAGTATCACTACGGAAGTAGGATTGCCCAACCTTCCTTCCGCGGAGTGGCTGGTGGGTTTGAACCACCAGCCTTCTGGTGAGCAGTCAAGTGCCTTAGGCACTATGCTACCAGAGCTCCTATAGACTTTTGTAATTTCTGAAGGAATTAATGTGTTCTGTTTTCCATGAAATGTAATGAAAATGCTTGAAACAACACTATATGTTTAATAGTTTTTCTAAATATTTTAATCTAAGAAAGATCCACTTCGTCTGTCTTAGTAGTGAGAAAACTTTATCCACTTTGTTGCAATAGTAAGTCCTTGAGATTAAACACACCACCTCATCTGATAGTGTCTATTGTGTTGCTCTGGACTCAACTTTAGTTTCAACTGCAGGCACTGGAAACTCAGGAGGCAAATTCGGTTGCTTAATAGCAATTTTCCTTTCATTTTACAGATCATCTCTTCAAGACAAATGGAATAATACTTCTGTGAGTGCAAACAGCAGTAACGGCTATGGAGTGATCTTCACTAGCACCAGCTCATATTACGTTTTTTACATTTATGTGGGAGTAGCAGACACTATGCTTGTTCTGGGATTCTTCAGAGGTTTACCACTGGTGCATACTCTAATCACAGTGTCGAAAATTTTACACCACAAAATGTTACATTCTGTTCTTCAAGCACGTATGTCAACCTTCAACACGTTGAAAGCAGGTACTTGACTAGGTACATAGCATGAAATGCTGTTCCATCATCCACAGTGCCTGCGGTTTAGTGGCTTTTCTAGTTGTGTGTTCTTTTTGCCCAGAAGTATCATCCCTTTATGGGGCCTCCCTATGACTGGCCTGCATTTCTCAGATATCACTGGCTGTTTAGGTATTGTTGCTTCTGATATTGCTGAATCAGCTAAGTAAAGTAGCTCAGGTCAGTAGAACATGATGCTAATGGGATTGTGGCAACAGAAGCCGGCCCTTCTGGCTTAGTGGTCCTTCTCTATTGTGATACTTGGTCTAGTAACCTTCCAGCACTATTATTGTCAATATATTGTCATTGTTAGCTGCCACTGAGTTGGCCTCTGACTCGTGGCAATGCTATGTACAACAAAATGAAACACTGCCTCATACTGCACCGTCCCCGTGATTGGTTGCATATTGATTGGATCACTGTGATCCACGGGGCATTCATTAGCTGGTTTTCAAAAGTAGATCATCAGGCTTTCTTCGTAGTCCATCTTAATCTGGAAGCTTCACTGAAACCCTTTCAGCATCATAGCAATACACAAGCTTCCACTGACAAGACAGGTGGTGGCTGCATAACAATGTGTTGTTCAAAATGGATGGATATTTGAAGGGCAGGGAGGCACAAAGAAAGGTAATCAATTCTATTGATTCTCCTTTAGACAAATCTACATTTTAAGAGTCAAAGTTAATAAAGAGTCCCTACCTCCAAGATTTACTCCTTCAGCCACCTGTTGAGCATTTGCTATTTGTGGCTAGGGACTAGTATGTAAAGACGAATAAGGCACAGTCTATGCCCTGGAAGAGCACACAGATGAGGGGACATGGTAGACACAGAAATATTGTAAGTTAAAAAATAAGTTTAACAATAGAAATTGTACTAAAACTCTGAAGAGAAGAAAAGCCTGTGATGTTTTTTTGGGTAACAAAATTTCAGTACTAGGGGCCCTGGTAGTACAATGGTTAAGCACTTGACTGCTAACTGAAAGGTTGGGAGTTCGAACCCACCCAGCATCTCTGTGGGAGAAAGCCCTGGTGATCTACTCAGATTAAAAGCAAACAAACAAACCTATTGCCATTGGGTCAGTTCTGATTCATAATGACCTTATAGGACAGAGTAGAACTGCAGGGTTTCCAAGGCTATAATCTTTACAGAAGCAGACTGCCACATCTTTCTCCTGTAGAATGGCAGGTGGTTCAAAACACTGACCTTTCAGTTAGCAACCAAATATTTAACCCCTTCTCAGCCAGGGCTCCTTCTATAAAGATTACAGCCTAGGAAACCCTAAGGGGCAGTTCTACTCTGTCCAATAGGGTCACTATAAGCCAGAATTAACTCGTTGGCATCTATCAACAACAGTATTCAGAGATATCTTCCTTATATTTATTGTGAAGCCCTCTGTGTCACTAAAGCTGTGTCTCCATAGGATATGCTCATTACCATCCTCTGTTTGAGAACTAACATTCTAGAGCTAAAAGGGACTTTCACATTCATTTGATCCAATGATTTTACTTTCCATGGAAAAACTGAGACCCAGAGAAGGCAGGGGACTTGTCCAAGGTGCTGGCAGAGTCATAAATGGGTGATGACATGCAATGGAAAGAGCATGTGCTTTGTTTGAGGTCTTGCTTGGCCCCATGGAATGATCATGAGTTACTCTTCTGGGCTTTGGCTCTTTCACCTGTAAAATGTGGATAGACTAACTGCCTCAGAGGAAGCTTGCGAGGATGAAACAAGGCAATCTGCTTGCCTATTACATAGCCAATACAAATTACCTGTTAGTTCTCTGTGGTTGCCCCCTGCTGAACCCCCATGAGGTGCACTTTCCATTCCACCATTCTTCTGTTCACAGATCCTCATTCCCTTCAACACAACTCATGGTTGGCCCTAAACTTTCTCTATTTTGGATTTAAATGATCATTTAATATTCATTTCATTTTTTTCACTTGTCCTGCTTTCCAATACCTTAACCCATTTTGTAGGATGATTTTCAAACATCTCTCTCTCTCTCTTTTTTGCATCCTTCTTATTTATATTGCCAAGAACTGAAATAGCCAGATGATCTTACAATATCTCTATGCCCTTCTGTTGCCCCCACTTCATCCCCTCCTCAAATTTCTGTATGCAAGTATTATGTAGTCTTTGAAAAACCATCCTATTGCTGATTAATGGTTCACTTATTCTCAGAATGCTGCCTAGCTATTCTCCACTATGCTTGGCAATAACCATGTGCACTTGCCTTGTATATGCACTTGCACTTTCTCCCAGGTGTGCCTTTCTGCAGCTGTACATTGACTGACCTTAGTTTCCTTTGACTCCTTGCTTGATTTTCCTGTGTCACTTTTAAAATAATCTTAAACCACATAGACACATAGTAGGTACTCAATAAAATGTGTTGAACAGATGAAAGCGTGAATGCATATTTTGACAGATACTAACATTAGAAATGTATGAAATGTAATGTGTGTGTGTGTGTGTGTCTGTGTGTATTTTAACCAAAGCCAGCTTTCATTTTCTGAACAGCCTTTATAAGTACCATGGGTTAATTTTTGTTCAAATTTTAATTTATTTAAGGGTATACAAATATTTCTTATTAAATATGCTGAAAAATTATTATCAATGAAAGGTTAAGGTTAAGAAACAGTAACTTAAATCAGTAAACATGTATTAAATAATTCCTACATATAAGGCTTTTTGATTTTTGCTATGTGTGATACAAGAAAAAAAAGTGGCATGGTGCCATTGATCTCTAACAATTTATAGTCTAGAAAAATATAGGACATGTACACAAGAGACTATGATATAAGTCATGTGGTATATAATCACAGTAACACAGAGATGCTGACCAAGACCAAAACCAAACTCACTGCCATTGAGTTGATTCTGACTCATAATGACCCCCATTGGGTTTCCAAGACTGTAAATCTTTACAGAAAAAGACTGCTTCATCTTTCTTCCAAGGAGTGGCTAGTGGGTTCAAACCACTGACCTTTTTGGTCAGCAGCCAAAGACTTAACCACTGCCTTAACCACCAGAGCTCCTTCAGAGATGCTGACAAGATGTGCTAAATGTATTAAGCGTGTCCATAGGAGGAAGAGGTTAATTCCAGCTGGTGCCAACACTGATACATCCTTGCAAGAGGGACATTTGAACTGGAGGAAAGGCAACAGAGATTTTCACAAGTAGAGCTAAGGGAAAACGTTTTCAGTTGGAGAGAACCACATGGGGGAAGGCAGGGAGGTAAGAAAGTGTAGAATGTCTTTAAAGCATAGACCAGTTTGTTTGTAACAGAATCTTCACGTAAAGGAAGCTTGTACTGGTTGGTGGCATCAGGCCAAATCATGGAAAACATTAAATATTAAACTAAGAATTTGGACTTTATCCTGTAGTTAATGGGAGATGAATGATAAGATTCAATATCATTTTGTTTGTAGAGTATTAAGTTATATTTTACCTAATTATATACTTAACACCCCCTGGACTATGAAATCTTCAAGGGCAAGGAGCACGGCTCATTCACCTCTGTTGTCTTAGTGCCTAGCTCTGTGTCTGGCATGCAGTTGAAACTAAAGTTGAGTCCAGACACTTCATGAATAACTTTTTTCATAGAAGAAACAAGTGACCAGACTTAAAAATGTGAGCCTCGAATTTAAACAGGCTGAAGCTTAGGTTGTCAGTGAAGAAGGGGGAGAGAGAGAGAGAGAGAGAGAAAGAGAGAAAGAGAGAACGAGAGAGAGAATGAGAACATGACCTAGCCATATGCACTTGCTATGTAGTGGCTGGGCAGGGGCAGGTGACAGCTACTGATTTTACAGAGATGTGCTTAAAGGTATGAAGTCCAAGGAGAGAGAGAACTACATGTTATTGTAATAAATGGATGTAAGATAAATGGTGGCAGCATATCTAATAAATTATCATTAAAATCAGGGTTACAAGTGTGAGGTTGTACTACTCGGTACCCATTTCTGACATTATGTACAATTAGGGTACTATTCAAGACAATAAGGAGCCGCGGTGGCACAGTAGTTAAGCATTTGGCTGCTCACCAAAAAGTTGGCAGTTCAAATCCATCAGCCACTTCAAGGAAAATGATGTGGTAATTTGCTTCTGTAAACCCTATGTAAATTTGCTAGGAAACCCTATGGGGCAGTTCTCTGTACTATAGGGTCGCTATGAGTCAGAACCAGTGGCAATGGTTTTGTTTTTTTATTCAAGACATTGGTTTGTACCTGACTCTTATAGAAATCTGTATTTTATAATGGCTTTAAAATAGGTAATAAAACTTGAACGTGTAGTTACTTAGAATCCTTGTATTATGACAATGAAGTGTTATAAGTCTCTTTTTATCTAATTAATGCTAATTCTTATCTGAGTTATGAATGCTCTTGCTATCCTCTGAATTTAGTTTTAACTCTATTGTTACATCTTTCTTAAAATATTGATTTTTGAGGAGTTTATTCTTTATATTATAGGTGGGATTCTTAATAGATTCTCCAAAGATATAGCAATTATGGATGATCTTCTGCCTCTTACCATATATGACTTCATCCAGGTTAGTGAAAATAACTATTAGTCTAGTGCACTTGTTGTATTGCTATTTGTAAAAAAAAATAATGATAATAAGAAGTAAATGAGTTGTTGGTCATTTTTCATTTGATTCAGAGTTGAAGTCCTGTCTATAGTATGAATCTTGTAAATATAAAAATTCTTCAAAATAGGTATAAATTTAGTAATAAGTCAGATCTGTTGCACCTGATTCATACTGTCTAGTTGGGAATGATTTCAGAAGCACAAATGGCCACCTTCCCCCAAAGCACAAGCCACAAAGCGTGATGGTTTTGGTATGGGCATCATTTTGTGAATCTCTGGGTGGGGCAAATGGGTGACACATGCAGCCACTAAGTGAAAGGTCAGTCATCTGAGTCCCCCCAGAAGTGCCTCAGAAGAAAGGTGTCCTGACCTACCTCTGAAAAGTCAGCCATCAGAGACCCTGTGAACATAGCTCTGCTCCAACACACATGGGGCCAACTTGAGTAAGAACTAACTCAAGAGAATCTGCTGTAACTATCTGATGGATGACCACTGACCTCCAAAAGGCCCATGAAATGGTTCGCCAGCCTCAACCATTAACACTTTGGTACAGATTAGCTAGCCAGTTTTCTTGTAGAAAGGATCATGATGTATGGACAGAATATAAATTTTCGAGCTGGTGAGAGAAGAAAAACTCAGAGCTTTGGGCAGGTTATCTTTGACTGACAGATCCAGGTAACCTGGATCTGAGGATGGATGTCTCTGGAGTAGGTGACTGACCTATGATGACAGTGGAGAAGAGGGAGGATGGAGCTGAAGGTTACACAAAGGATACTGCATCAGGAGCCCATAAGCAACAGGAATGAAGGAGTGTTGGGAGTTGATAACCTTGGCTTTCAGGTTTGAGCAGAGCTTCCTGTCTAGGTCAGGCTCCAGTGAGCAAATGCCCCAGTCTCAATGTTCTCCTTGGAAAAACAGTTGGAATGGAATGCTGTCCATATTGGGATGAGTCATTTTCCCCAACACCCTAGTCCACAAAGTGATAATACTGTGTCTGAGAGAGCCAATAAAACAAAAGAATGGCTGTCACATTTGAGAATATATGCACATGACACTGTGAAATAAAAAAAAATCCAGACTGCCTGTTTGCCTCATCTGAAATGATTGACACAACTGAACACATTTATGGTTCCCAGTGAACTTCAGCATTTTGAATTTCTTGTAGTTCTCCCTGTTTATAGATAAACTCAGCAGCAGGTCCTCACATTTTCATCATGTTCTGCAGTTCCTCTGTTTTTGTTTATTTTTTAGTCCTCTCACTTATTACCCCCTGGTCAGAATATCAAATATGCTAACCTAATGCTTTTAATTTTGCACAACTTGCTAAATTATCAGGCTCCGACTGCTAAATTATCACTGCCCATCTCGGTTTTTCAGTGGTGCTATAACAGACATACCACAAGTGGGTGGCTTAACAAACAGGAGTTTATCCTCTTACAGTTTAGGAGGCTAGAAGTCCAAATTCAGAGTGCTGGCTTCAGGGGCTGGGTGAAAGCCCATTGACCTTGGGCTTCAGCTCTGCCTCAGATTCTAGGCCCACAGGAGCTATAGGAATCTCCTAACTCAGACAGCTGCTAGCTCCTGACTCTGATGAACTCAATGTCAGCAGGTACAATGGCACAGTCCCAAATTAGCAGGCAACATACCCACCAGCCACTCCTCGAAAGGAAGGTTGGGCAATCCTACTTCCGTAGTGATACTGCCTCGGAAACCCAAGGAGGGGTCGCTATGAGTCGGGTTTGACTCCCCGGCACATAACAACAGCAACAATAGCAGACCACTATTTCAAGTCCAGAAACAGTCCCCAGATCAGCAGGGAACAAGGCAGGCCACTATAGACATAGCTAGATGAAGGCTATGTCTAATTTTGTCATGGAGAATAACTACATCCAGCTGTCCAGCCACTTAAAACCATGACCCAGCCAAGCTGACACACAAACTTAACTACCACATTCCACCAAGTAAGTGGATGTGGTTAATGAATTCCATGGGGAATCTGTTGCAGGATGTTAATCAGCGGAAGGGGAGTGCCTTTGAGTGTGGCCGCTTCCTGTACATATGGAGACACTTGAGGAAAGATCTCTAGCTTTTTGGCACAACTGGATCGGGCATTTGGCTGAGTCACCAGTGGCCTACCATGTGGCCTGCCATTCTTGGGACTGTTCCTGGACTTGAACAAGTGGCCTGCCATGTTGCCTACTGATCTTGGGACTATACCATTTTACTTTTCAGTCTTGGATTCATTAACCTCAGCAGCCAGCAGCTGTGAGAGTCAGAAAAAGCCTAAAGCTCTAGTGGGCCTGGAACATGAGGCAGAGCTGAAGACCAAGGTCAGGGGGCCTTCACCAGCCTCTAAAGCTGGCACTTTGAACTTGGACTTCTAGCCTCCTACACTGTAAGGGAATGCCTGTTCGTGAAAGCCATCCGTTTGTGGTATGTCTGTCACAGCAGCATAGAGAGCCAAAGCAGTGACTAAGGATGGCATCTTATGGAGAAAATGGAGCTCTTTTCCTCAGTGCTTAGACTTATTTTCACTTCTGTGGGAGCTTGAACTATATTCTAGATGATCGTAGGCACTGGAAATCTGACTACCTTGTGAATGCTATTTCACTTTCAAATGTACCCACCTTCTTTGATCTCCTCTAATCCAGTATATGACCTACCATGATATTTTGGTCATCCAATCCCATCTACTCAATTAGACAATTTCATTCCTAAGAATCCCTATCTTATCAGCATTCATTATAGAAACAATGATTTCAATAGAAAATGGTTTATAGAATAGTATGTTTCTTATAGAGGCTTTCTGGTGGCACAGTGGTTAAGTACTCAGGTGCAAACCAAAAAGTCAGTGGTTCAAACCCTCCAGCTGCTCAAAGGGAGAAAAGACCTGGTGATGTGCTCCTGAAAGATGACAGCCTTGGAGACCCCATGGTGCGGGTCTGCTCTGTCCTACACAGTCATATGAGTCTCAATCAACCTCATGACACACTACAGCACCTTGTTTCTTATACACATGTGTCATCTTCCCTGGTTGTGCAATGGTTAAGCACTCAGCTACTGAGGTAGAGGTTAGCATTTGAACCCACCCAGGGCTCTGCATAAGAAAGGGCTAATGAGGTGCTTCTGTAAAGATTACAGCCGAGAAAACCATATGGAACAGCTGTACTCTGTCACATGGTGTCCCTGTGAGTCGAGAATCGATTTGACGGCACCTAACAACACAACACGTTTCTTATACACACATGTGTCATTTTCCCCAGGCATTATTATAAACAAAACAGCATCACATTGGAATTACATGCTAAAAGTAGCATGTCAAGATTAACACAGTGCAGTTTACAATAGCAAACAGAAGATATCTGATAGGTAAATGTGTGCTACCAATGCAACAGCTTTCATCTTTCAGATATACTGGTATTTAACATGATTTAAAAAAAAAAAAACTCACTGCCATCCAATCAGATCCAACTCATAGCAACCCCTCCTTGGGTTTCTGAGGTGGTATCACTACAGAAGTAGATTTCCCCTTCTTCCTTCCAAAGAGTGGCTGGTGGGTCTGAATGGCCAGCCTTCTGGTTAGCAGTCAAGTGTCTTAGGCACTATGCTACCAGAGCTCCTATTTAATGTGATAGCCTATTAAAGCCATATTCCTAGTTTTCTCTTTCTTTCCCCCCAAAAAGGGCCTGTTTCTGAGAAATAGTGACCTAGGTTAAGAAACAAATTCATCTTTGATGAAGCACTTGGTCATATAGTAACTAGGACATTAGCCTGATGGTAGACTAGTTAAGTGTTTGGCTGCTAATTGAAAGGTTGGCAGTTTGAACCCACCAGTTGCTCTGCAGAGAAAGATTTGACAGTTTGTTTACATAAAGATTTCAGCCTTGGAAACTCTAGGGGGCAATTCTGCTATAGGGTCACTATAAGTTGAAATTGACTCAATGGCTATGGGGTTGGTTTGGTTTAACTAGGGTTGGGTTTAACTAACTTGGTTTAACTGGTGGAGAACTGGCTCACTGCATAGCAAATGGATGTTCTCATTGTACTGATAGCACATTTAGTGGAAGAATGAAATAGGGAAGATTTTCCTTAGAATACTGAGTCATCATATGTACCTAGCCCAATGCCTGGCACAATGAAAACGTACCAAAGTATTTATTCAATGAGTGAGGAATTAAAAAACCAAAACCAACTCATTGTCATTGAGTTGGATCCAACTCATAGCGACCCCTCCTTGGGTTTCTGAGGCATTATCACTATGGAAGTAGATTGCCCAACCTTCCTTCTGAGGAGTGGCTGGTGGGTTTGAACTGCCAGCCTTCTGGTTAGAAGTCAAATGCCTTAGGGACTATGCCACCAGAGGTCCCCGGTGAGGGACTAGTATTACTAAATGTGATGATTGAATACCCAGACACTTTTTCCCTTAGAAAATCACTAAGTCACTAAGATATTCTTTGAGGTTTTAGATGAAAGTCACAACTCATGCAAAGATGATTTCTGACCTACACCCCTCTTACCACTCCCAATTACCAAAATGTTACATGTTTCATGGCATCAGCTGGAAGGCACCTAACAACCTAACATGGAAACTGGTGGAGAACTGGCTCACTGCACAGCAAATGGATGTTGTAATAGGTTTACTATTATTTTATTAAATCTTTGTTACTAACTTTATTTACATTTCATCCAAATTGTTTATCGCAGAGTAAATGTTAGCAGATTTTTTTTTCTTCTAAATATGTATGGATTTAGTGTCAGGTAGATGTATAGAATTCAAACATTCAACTTGATAGTGAAGAACACACTTTTGGAGGCTTCTTTCTGAGATGACCGACAGGGCCCCAAGTTTTTGGTGGATAATGTGAGGCAATATTGATAATGGATGAGCATGACTGAAATGCAAAATCGATTTTAACAATAAAAAAAAGAAACATTTTCTAAAATCAACTTAAATCAGCTGCCCACCCCCCAAATCTCTTCTGAGGCTCTAGGGAATCGCTCGAAGGGGAGCAGAAAGTTGGGAAGAAGAGTAAAATTTATCAGGTATAATATGTATTTTTTCTTCCAATCTTAAAACATGGGAAAACTGTGCTCAGGTAGGTTGGGTAAATTGCCAAAATGACCAAGCCCCTATTTTAAACCAGATCTTTCTGAATGCAGAGGCTCTGAGACTCATACCTGATTTATTAGAAATTGTCTGGAAAATATCTTAAAATTCCCATTCAGACTGAAATTATTTCAAAATAAAAATGTTAAGCTCAAAATATTTACACTAATTAAAAAATGTACTTGTCATTCAGCGCTTTAAGGTGTTTGGCAAATGAGAATCTCCCTTAGTCAAAGAGCAGCATGTTTTAAAACCATCATTAAAGTTACTATCTGATACCTAAAAGATTTTCTGAAAGTCTATAAAATCTGTGGAAAATGTACTTTGAAATGGCTGGCTTTGTAGGAGAAAACTCTTGCCCCATTCAAGAACAAAGCAGTGTGAGATTATTTAGAGATAAACCACTGATAAACCTGTGCATTTTGCAACCTGACAATGTTTACTCACCAACGTGTTTCTTTGATCCTACAGTTGTTATTAATTGTGATTGGCGCTGTAGCGGTGGTCTCGGTTTTACAACCCTACATCTTGCTAGCAACAGTGCCTGTGATAGCTGCATTTATTATGTTGAGAGCATACTTCCTCCACACCTCACAGCAACTCAAACAACTGGAATCTGAAGGTATGGTGACTGCAGGTACAATTCTTGCCCTGAAAAAACTCCACAGGAGAGATTTACCATTTTGAACTTCATTCCTCTATTAATCTACTTTTCCAGGATTTTTTTCCCCCATTTTTAAACTTAAAGTATATAGCAAAGACTTTTCAAAATGCCAATGTATGTAAGAAGAGCTCTGGTGACATGGTGCCTAAAGCATTTGACTGCTAACCAGAAGGTTGGCGGTTCAAACCCACCAGCCACCCCACAGAAGAATGTCTGGGCAATCTACTTTTGTAAAGATTTACCGCTCTGGGAAACCAAAAGTGGGTTGCTATGAGCCAGAATCGACTCCATGGCAGTGAATTCCTTTTTTCTTTATGTATGTAAAAGGAAATAGTAAAGCACAGAGTGCATGTGGATTGTTTTTGTTAATTGCTGGCCATGTGACTTCGTTTTGATTTTAAAACAAGTGTGTGGAGTGTTACAGAGTTGGTCATCAACCAACTCTGGGATAAACCGAAAAACCAAGCTCATTGCTGTTGATTCAAATGACCCCATGTGTTAGAGTAGAACTGCTCCACAGGGTTTTCTTGGCTGTGGTCTTTAAGGAAGCAGATGGCCAGGACTTTCTTCTGTAGCACTGCTGAGTGGGTTTGAACCACCAACCTTTAGGTGAGAAGATGAGTACAAACCATTTACATCACCCAAGGATATGGTGTGTAAGATATTCATTCATAATTTACTTACATAAATTAAATTTAAAAATAATACTGCTATTGCCTAAGGCACTTGACTGCTAACCAGAAGGCTGGTGGTTCAAACCCACCAGCCAGTCCTCAGAAGGAAGGTTGGGCAATCTACTTCCATAGTGATACTGCCTTGGAAATCCAAGGAGGGGTCGCTATGAGTCAGGTCTGACTTGAT